TCTTTTAAATTGTTTAATTCATTTTTAAGAATATTATTTTTATTACTTAAAATATTTCTTGCAGCTTTGAACGACCAATTCGAAACGACCAATTCAACTAAAACTTTGTCATATTTATCGCTTACAAAACCGATACTTTTTTTTTAAATTGTTTAATTCATTTTTAAGAATATTATTTTTATTACTTAAAATATTTCTTGCAGCTTTGAACGACCAATTCGGCATATTAGGCAACAAAAGATCGTGCCTCTTGTTTCAGATCTCACTTGTATTGACTTAAAATCAAACAAAAGAGGGAGTGCAACTTCTTTCCCCTCTTGTTTCCTGCGCATAGTAATTCTACACGATTCACAGAATCCTTTTGGTACCCGAGTATCACTAATATTAATCTTGGTTTTGTACAGTTGGCATATTCTATCTGCTTGAAAAGTAGTAAGCTGTCTTGAACATTTTTTCAGACAGAGCAAGCGCACAAACTTTCGATTTTCATCATGATTCTTTGCTTGATTTGGCATCGTGGCAATTCACTAAATTTGACTTCACTAAATCAAACTCTGCCTTTTTCACAAAATTTGACCTACATTTATATTTGATAACAATTTACTTTACATGGTAACACATATTATTAAATAAAAACTATTAAAATAAAGGAAATATTTACTTGATTTATTTGAGGCAATATTAAATTACATGGAGATAATTCTTGAATAGTCCTTTCCTTACCAGGAAATAATTGTTTAAACTATTTACTTGTAAGGAAATTACAAGTATCTCACACTTATTAAACTAATTATACTTGTCACATGGGTTGTTTTATTTTAAAACAACCCTTTAACCTAATTAGTTATTCAGTTAGAGTAATTTTCCTCCGACTGGCCCTCCAAACTTTGTATTGGTCAGATATCTTAGTTAACTTATTTAATTTTTTTAAGTCAATTATTTTTGTCAATATAAATAAATATTTTTATTTTTATTTAGGTATCCCTAGAAATCTTTCTTAACCATTTTTTTAGATTTTTTTTGCATTTCTGGCAGTAGTTTATATTTTAGGAAATGTTAGTATATTCACGCTATGCATATGGGTTGACCCCCTCCACTTTGAAGGCCGTGTCAACGCCATTGGCATAAGCCAATTCAAATCACGCTTTTATTAAGTATTTTTAATTAAGTAGCAAATTATTATTTTGGTCTATAAAAAACTGTACATGTACCAATAAAATTATTATAACAAAAATTGTTGGTATTACGTAGTAGAACAGTCATGTAACCGTTATTTTATAAATAGTGACCGAGTTTCAAAGTAATCGGTAACGCTTTGAGGTATAAGTAGCAAAAAACTAACAAAACTTCAACTAAAACTGCAATAAATTCTACACCAGTCATCCAATCAGGCAAAAATTTTATCCAGAGTTTGGTTTGACAAACTCTACTATTGGCTACATTTGCACCAATTTTTATCAAATTATATTGAGTGGCTCAAATTCTATAAGTGTTTTTATTGGCGCACTATGAAGTCAAAATTTGACTTAATTTGAAAATTCAAATGAAATTATTTTCGCGAACAAAATTAAATGATTTCAAAAATTTCATCACAGGGTACCTTGATGTGTATGCTAACTTTCCGTATAAGTGGCGTTCTTGGAAGGCATTATAAGGATCCGTGCCAACAGTGGTTAGGGGCCATCCATAAAGGACGTCACCATTTTTTAGCCAATTTTTGACCCCCTTCCCCCTCTTTTTCACTAGTTGTCCTTTTTCCCTATACCCCTCTGGAGAAGGACGCCATAAAATCCTGGCCCCCCTCCCTACTTTTAACTCCAAAAAAATTTATTTCATCTTGAAATGATGTTTGAATCTGTTGCTACACCTTTGAAAAATAAAATTAAAAATATTCTCATACATTATCTTCTCAAAAACACATGTTTACGTAGTTTTCCATGTTAATTAAATTAAAATAAAAAATCTATAAAGTGACGTCCTTTTCTGACAATCTCCCCCCCTTTCCCTTGTCCTTTTTTGTCCTTTTTAACTCGACCCCTCTCTCCTATTTGGATGACGTCCTTTATGGATGGCTCCTTAAGTGATTATAAAATATTATATAATTATATATTACCTATATCATATAGTTTATACTACCTATATTATAAAAATAAAAATAAATTAACTGCAAACAAATCACATAGTATATAAACTATGTAACATAATAAATCTATATACAAAATGTATATACAATCATGTATAAATATTTTATGTTAGATAGTTTACAAGTAACTTGTGAACTTTGTAGTCTACTATATACATCATAATCATTCACATATGATTTTATGTATTTTTTGCAGCTATATATACCAATGAAAGTGTATCATAATTTCTATAAATTAAGACAAAAGTAGCGTCTATATTTCATCTATAAATTAAGACAAAAGTAGCGTCAGGTAAACTCTTAATTTTTTATTTTTTTTATTTGTTACTTAGGTACCCCAAAAAGTCCTAACGGTCTTGTCACTAAGCACAGCGGAAGTGCATTAAAGAAAGTTCACGCCTTCTTCCTTACTGTGACACGAAATATGTCCAAAGCTCGTTTCAAACCTAGATCTCCTGCTTATAAAGCAAGCACTACGCCACAGTCGCACAAACACTTTTATTCAGAAAAAAATTGAAAACTTAGATCTGAAAACAATTATAAATCAAGATAAGACTATTTTAAACAAAAGTAATAAATTGACACGCTCAGATTTTTAGAAAAAGAGTTTTGAAAATATAAACAAATCACCCTTTTAACAGTTAGTTAAAATGTAGCAGAGAATCCTAGTTTTTTATGTACTAAAACATCTTTATCTTGTTTTTATCATTTTTGAATCAACAATATAATTATCTTTTTAATTATTTCATTCTACCAAAAATATACAAACAATAACCACTAAATAAAATTTTAAATATGTCGCTGCTACTCAGAAAAAAATTTTGTATCTAAAGGCCGTCACCATCTTTAAAATTGTAATATTTATATTTGACACTGCACTTGCGTAAAACAACTTTCTACATCTAAACGACCGTGTTTAGGAGATTTTAAAAAAATTGCTTGGATAAGATAAATGTTATCCACGCATTTTTTTTTTAATCTACCCAACACAGTTGATTGCAAACGAGAGATAAGTAGAGCATTAGCTTGCTTTTGTTCCGGTTTATGCATGATAAAAATTAACTTTAGCAACCATTTTTCCTCATCCAGTAATGCAATATGGCTCAATATAAACTTGCCCTGTTTGCGCTTGTACACTCTTTTTTGTTTCTATTCAGCCACGGACTTGTCAGTATCAATATCATCGCTTCTTTTTCAAAAGTGAGTCAAAACATGATCTATTTATTTTAACAAAAATAGACACGGAGCTATACAGTTTATTTACCACTACTAAGTCAATTTTAACAGCTTGAAACTATTTGTTCACTTTTTTGAGCCCTTCTATAATTATGCTCCAGTTGACTATCATGATGACTGTCTCCATCTGATCAATTTTCCGTTGAAATCTGTAACCTATAACCTATAGCTTCTACTATTATATTTGGCTGCTGCATTTTATCATTGTTCAGTTCTTTTATAGCTACCTTGAAGTTTAAACGCATTTTTAACATATACAAATTTGCAAGCACTATTTAAGTAAGAGCTTAAAAAAACTGATTCTGATAATTCTACTTTGTAACTAGAGTAACCCATTTTAAAAGCAGAACACGCATCTGCACGTGCAGATCATCTAGTCTGTGAGAGATATTTTGGAACTTTTTTCCAGTTTTAATTTCTAGGCTCCCTATCAACATTCAGCTGCTGCAACTCCAATCAGGTATAAAGAATGGCTGGAACATCGAAAATATTCAGCTTGTTGATTTAACTTCTCGATACGGGTTTGTAACCAAAATTTACATTAAAGCTAAATTCATAATCAGTTTAACACCACGGACTTTATATGTGGAAATTTTCCCCCCAGATTGTTACTATCAAGAAAAATATATTTGAACAGTTCAAATTTGAATCAAATTTGAATCAAAGCGTTTTTTATTATCTACGCACTTAAAATTTCATATTTTATTTTTCAGTAAAATAATGTCAACTAGCACAATTTATTTCATCTATTTGCTTTTATTTTTATTTGTTATAGACTCATTTTTCAATAAGAATTTATATCTTAGCAGTTATATCAATTATGAAACGTAGTTTTACACTTTTATATATATTTTATCATTTATATATATTTTATATATAGCATTTATCATGGTTTTATAAAAAAATTTATTGTAAAAAACGTAATAAAGAAATAACCGGCTTGGTGATAAGATAAACTTTCTTCTTCTAAGATAAACTTTCTTTGTCTGATTCCAGGCATTTGTTTTATTATCTGTATTAATTTATAAGTTGTAGTTTTCTAAGTTGAAATTTAAAAAAAAATTACCCAGTGTAGACCCCAGACGTTTTGGAGGCATTATCATACAATGGCCGCGGCAATCAGTAATTTGGCATCTCTAATTTCTTTTTGACAAGATTAAGCATATCAGTTGTCCCAAGCCTTTGTATGAAAATGAACGATCCCAGCAAACACAAGACGTCTTTAAGACCGTCTTACTTAGGTCTTTAAATGGTCTTGTCTTAGAAAGACGTCTTCAAGACGTTTAATATTCAGCTTTTTAAATCCTTTTTTTGGCGCTAAATTCTCTTATATACGTCTTAAAGACATCTTTAAGACGTATCAAAGCAAATATTTAGGAAAATTTTTGCTTTGGTTTTGTATGAGAACTTTAGTGCGTCAATCTTTTACTTTCGGTATAATATTTTAAATTGCCCTCTTTAAAACGTCTTAAAAACGTCTTCAGTAAGACTGCATTGGCGTGATAATATTTCGTATCTCATATAAACTTAATAAGTTTTCATATAAAGTTTAAAAGTTTTCTTTGATTTACGTTTGATTTCTAAACTTAGACTTATATATATATATTTTTTAACATTATTCATGGAAACTGAAAATCGAATGAAGCGTCGTCGCCTGAATAAAAGTATGTTTTATAATGACGCAAGATGAAGTTGAATATTAGCAGGGGCTTCACAAGGTGTTTCATGCTCATAAGAAGCATTAAGTTCACGATTCATATTAGTGCTAATATCGATATTAGCACTAATATGAATCGAATTAGAACTAATATGAACTTAATGCTTCTTATGAGCATGAATCACCTTGTGAAGCCCCTGCTATTATTCAAGAAGAAAGTGGAAAAAAATTTATCTTTGAGTTATAATTACGAGAATTTTGAATATTTTAATGCACCAACACTATTGAAAACAGAAAAATTACAAGGTTTGGCAAAGTGGTCTTCAAAAAGTAACATTTCTCAAAGTAATTTAAAGGAACTTTTGAATATTCTCAGAAGGCATGGTCATTCAGAGTTGCCAAAAGATGGAAGATCCCTTTTAAAATCCTCGGCGCTACTGCAGTTTCTCCCCCCCCCCCCCAACCCCTATTTTTTATTGTTGATTATGATAGAGAATCTTATGCTGATTAAGTATCGTATAAAAACATAGGTCTGAAAATTAACAGAAAGTGCTCTAATTTGATGTTAAAGTTTGCAAAGTTACACTAATAAACGCTAATATTCGCCATTTTTTAAATACGTTTTACATCAAAGTTTATATTTTAAAATCGATCGTTAAGAAAATCTTTTTTTAATTACGCGACCCGGTTTTTATTGTCATCAAAGTTAATTTATAATTGAATTAAATGTTTTTATGAATGTATTTTATATAACTTTAATTATTTTTTTCGAAATAAATTTAAATATTGCTTTTTAAATGTACATAAATCGACTGAAAAATAGGGATTGGGCAATTGAATGTACATACACATCCAGGGCTGCGCGAGTAGGTGTCACGTGGGGGAGGGGGGTGCCATTACAACTTTTTCGACTAAAAAAAGGTCCTCGTTTTCCAAAATTTGCCGACTGCCATTACGACATTTGCCGACTGTCTAACCTATATCGAAAGGGTCGACATTTGCCGACTAACTAGTCTAAAAAGGTCCGATTTGCCGACTAAGGGTTCAGTTTGCCGACTAAAAATCATTGATGGGGGATGTGTCACACCCCCCCACACACCCCTATCGCGCCGACCTTGCATACATCGACTGACAAATAGGGATTGGCACAACTAAATGCACATACATCGACTGACAAATAGGGATTGGCACAACTAAATGCACAAATATCGACTGACAAATAGGGATTGGCGCGATTAAACGTACAGGATTTGGGTTTGGGCAAGGGATAAATCAGAAAATGATGCGCTGAGCATTTTTTAACAGTTTTGCATTAAATTGTTGATAGAAACCAGGCTTTTTTAAAATCATCTTTGAAAAGAATTTTTATATAATCGAGAATTAAAAAAATGGCGAATATTAGCGTTTTTTAGTGTAATTTTTTAAACTTCAAGATCGAATTAGAGCACTTTCTGTTGATTTTCAGACCTATGTTTTTATACGATTACTAATCAGCATAAAGTTCTCTATCATAATCAACAATAAAAAATAGGGGTAGGGTGGGGGGTAGGAAACTGCAGTAGCGCCAAATCCCCTAAAGTTTTTACAGTAGATAGGAAGTGTGGCGGAACTCATGCATATTTTACCATTGCTGATGGCTTAAATTATTTTTTGAATACAAAAAAAGATTCTCAAAATACTGAATTATCTGTTACTGTTAATGTTGATGGACTACCTCTTTTTAAATCTTCTAATTTTCATATATGGCCAATACTTGGTTTAATAGAGAACTATATTTTAATAATTGCACTTTTCTGTGGAAATGGTAAACCAACCTGCTTAGTTGATTTTCTCTATGATTTTATCAAAGAATTTTTATTTTTATCTAATGAAGGTTTATACTACGATAATAAAAAAATTAATGTTAAACTTAAAGCATTCATATGTGATGCACGTTGTTTTCTTAAATGTATACAAGGTCATACAGAATATTACTCTTGTGAACGGTGCCAAATTCAAGGATTATATGAGGATCATAGAGTTGTTTTTATCGATGACAACCAATCAACTCCAAGATCAACTGAGGAGTTTAATACCTTTTTGTACACTATACATCAGAAATCTCTTACTCCTTTAGCTCAACTTCAAATATTTTGTGTTTCTGATTTTACTTTAGACTATATGCACATGGTTTGTCTTGGAGTAGTAAGACGCATACTTACCTTTTTAAAGTCAGGTCCTAAACATTGTAGACTTTTAAATACCCAAATAAAAAAAATATCTGCTAATCTATTAAGCTTATGTGGTATGATGCCATCTGAATTTGCTCGACAACTACGGTCTCTTTTTGAGTTAGATCGTTGAAAAGCAACAGAGTTCAGGCAATTTATTTTATACACTGGTCTCTTAGTTTTAAAGGGTGTTGTTAGCAAAGAAATTTATAACCACTTTCTAACATTGCATGTGGCGATGGTGGTTCTCTTAAACGAAGAAAATCAAGTCAGAAATCATTATCTTGAATTTGCTAAAAAACTAATAAATTATTTTGTTACTAATTTGAAACATTTATATACAAATTCATTCTGTGTTTATGTTCACTTTTTACTTCATATTTGTGATGATGTTGTTAGATTTGATTGTATACTAAATACAATATCTTGTTTTCCCTTTGAAAATTGTATGCAGACATTGAAGAAAGCAGTGAAAAATTCAAAGAGTCCGGTTGTTCAAATTACAAAACAGTATCGAAATTTACAATATTTATTTAATACAAAATCTCAAAAACTAAATATTTCAGTGAAGCTGAAAAATTCATGCTTTTATCTAGAAGAAAATCAATTTTGTTTTATTGATGAGAAATTACCATCTGGATTTTTTAAATGTAGAGTATTTAAACTTGATTTACAAAGTGATTTATATACACAACCAATTCTGTCTAATACCTTTAAAATTTTCTTGATACCAAAGATTAATGAAATAAAAGTAAGAGTGGTTGTGTTAGGAGTTAAAAGTCTCTGCCGAAAGGTTGTTGCTCTACCTTGGAAAGAAGGTAGAGCAACAACCTTTCCTTTGTTGCATGAAATAGAACATTAATGAATCATAATTATTTGATTGAAACCTTTTTTAAAAAATTTTTTGTTTGTTTATACTTTACATTTATTATTTAATAATTTGCATCTTACCTTAAATGGTTATTAGTGAATCTTATCATCTTAATTATATATATATATATATATATATATATATATATATATATATATATATATATATATATATATATATATATATATATATATATATATATATTAGGGTGGTGCAAAAAAAATTTTTTTTAAATTTCTTTGATGGTACCATTTCTTTATGTGACATTATGTGTAGGAATAACAATCGTGAAGTTTGGGCATGATTGAATAATTTTTAAAGGTTGCTCATCAACATCAAGTTTTTTACTTTTTGGGTTTGAGTTCTCTTTTAGTGTGCAATCCCAAATTTTGAATAAATTATGATACAACATTGCATTTTAACTCTTACTGTATATTAATCCAAAACCATGCAGTATTTTTTAAACTGAATTATATATATATATATTATTGTTTACAAATAAAATAATTGAAGAATAAAGTAATAAACTTCTGGTTTATAATAACGTATTTGTGTTCACTATAGTAAAGACAAATTTAAAAAACAATAATAGTTCCAAAAAATCTTAAAAATTGTTAGAGTTTTAGGTTTCATTTATATTTCAGCTTCTTTGCAAAAAATTATTGTAATCTATGAAAAAAAATTCATTGGTTTTTGTTTCCATCGTTTTTTGATGACTTGGTTCCATCGATCAACAAAGATTTCTGTGGCAGAGGAAACTTTGACCTGTGTTCAGAGACTACCTGCAACAAGAATTGCTTTTGTTCTTCATTTTTGGTAATTGAACAATTAAAATCCTGAATTAGTTTTACTCCTCTTTCAGCCGTATCATTAACAACTCGTAGACTTTTTACAATTTTTTCTGCCAGTTGAAACTCTTCATTTTCGGTCCACTTGTCAGGATCAACAGTTGTCAAAAAAGTAGTTGGTAATTCCAAAATGTTGAAAAAATTTAAGGTATTCTCTGTTACAAAACTTTCTATTTGCAAATTTTCAATTGAAGTTAAATCGATTTTTATTCTTTTCTGTGGTTCATCTTCTCCAGCATTTTGTAGAGCCAAAACCATTTTTGCTTTTGTTTCCTTGCTGATCTCCTTATCAAAAAAAGCCAATGCTACCATTTCTTCACTTAGATACCATAAATGCCTCGAAAATGCTGTTGCTGCAGCTGTAAAAATTCCATTGTTAATGGCTTTATGTTGAAAAACAGTCTTCAAGAAAGTGAGATCATTCGACGGAGCAAGTGTTGGATTGGTACATGATATCCAAAATTTGGTGTACACCAAACTAGCAAACAAGCTAATACCTCGAAGTGATTTTTCTTCTTTTGCCGTTAATTTGAACTGCCTTTTGAACATCCATATTTTCATTGAATATAAAATTTTGGCCTTCCACCTTCCTCTGTGTATGGCTCCGGAAGCCATTACATGAGCCCCACGAGGAGGAACATCACCAAGAAACAACAAGGTTAGTTCCAACAATTCCTTGTAGTCATCTCGATATTGTTTACCAGATTCAAGAATTGTTTTCAAATAAAATAGTGCATCCTGTTTGAGTATGGTGTGAGAAGCCAAAATGTCCGAACATGTTTGATCATTTAACGCTGTTTCATAATTATTTTTGTCAATTAATGACCACTTGTCACAAAAACGTTTAAATAATCCTATTTCAGGACCACTGGATTGCCCAAGAGAATGCTTAAAAACATCACTCAAGACGATTTCATACATATGATGACGACATGCCAAGTGTAATAGTTCTCTATTAAGCTTTTTTTCAATTAAAGTACACGCTCCAGCTTCGGTACCAGTGTTGGCAGCCGTTGTATCAAAACTAATTGCTTTAACTCGGTCTTGAATGTCCCAATCTAGTAAAGTTGTTATAACAGCTTCACTTATTGCTTTACCAGTACCCCTTGTTAACTTTGGAATGCCAAGAAGCTGGTCAACGTTGTAACCTGTAACAACAACTGCTAATCGATCAACTGATTCTCTTCCAGTAATATTTGGCAATATTTTGCCATCAAAATGAACAGTCAATGAAACATTTGACGAGTTGAATGCAAACTTTATGGTTGTAGCAATTTTGTTTCGATTAGTAATTCTAGCTCTCCGGATCGTATCGCGACTAATAGCAAAATCTGTAATGTCATGACCTAAACCTTTTGCTGCAGCTGCCAGTAAATAAGTCGCTTGGCGATCCGTGACGTTGGTTCGGTCAAGAGCAGATGCTAACTCAGGTGAAATGATATTTTGAGATCGCGATCGCTTTTTTACAACATTTTAATTAGATTTCTTTGGTTTCATAAATTCTTCATCTGAGATTTCAGTGCCAGATGTAGACTTGTCAGATAGGTGCATTGAATCAATGTGACTTGTATTTTCAGCTTCTTTTTTTCGCTTTTTTTCCTGAAAACGTCTGGACTCTTCTAATTCTTTTCTTTTCTGGACACGTTCTTCTGTTTTTGCCAATGCCATGTCAACTCCGGCCATGTATCCCTTACGTTCACCTCGCTGATCTATTAGAAATAGTCTGTCTTCTTCAATTGTAATCAAACTCATGGCATCAGCATGTGCTATATCAAAAATGCGATCAATTTCTTCACAAAAAACATTTTCATTTGCTGTTTGTGTTGCCGAAGCTCGTTTCATGTTTTTCTTTATTTTAGCCCATTTGTAAAAAATATTTTCAAGTTTTTCAATTGCATTACGTTCAATAGTTGTTGGAATTCTTGTCATATTCCACAAATGAAATACTTCTCGAATGACAAACCTTGCACTTTGTCTAACGATTTGTTTTTCTATTTTGTGAAGATGAAAAAATACTGCAAGAACTTGACGACATGTTGGAAGCTTCATCCCAGAAATATTTGGAGAAACAGACCCAACAAGATAAATGTCAGTAGTTGTTCGAGTTTCAATTTTTTTCGAAAACGAAGGGAAAGATAACTGAGAATTCATATTACAGGATATTTCTGAAAATCAAAATATAACCTGAGTAAAACAATTGTTATCAAAAATGATTTTGTTTTTTTAAAGCCTCAAATCAGCACTCATATGAACAAAAATTAAAATGCTTTGCGGTATATTGTCAAAGATAGTTGCACACTATTAAATTAGAAAAATATATTTAAAAAATATTTAAAATCGATTAAAATAATTATCATAATTAATTAAATTAAATCAAATTAAGAGTTATGTCATAATAAAATAAATAAACAAATGTACATATTAAAAACTTCACAGTAACGTTAGAATAGGAAAATAATGGCAATTAAAAGAGGAAACATGGCCATGAGCGACCTCTAAAAGTCATTTAAATTTGCTTAAATTTTGCAGGAATTAATATAATGATAAAAGTAACAATAGAAAAAAGTACCACATTGATTTTTGAAACTTTTGAAATTGTCAATATATTTGTGCACCACCCTAATATATATATATATATATATATATATATATATATATATATATATATATATATATATATATATATATATATATATATATATATATATATATATATATATATATATATATATATATATGTATATATATATATATATATATATATATATATATATATATATATATATATATATATATATGTATATATATATATATATATATATATATATATATATATATATATATTATAAACTCTTATTTTTAAATCTTATTTTAACTCTTATTTTAAAAAAATTTATATATATATATATATATATATATATATATATATATATATATATATATATATATATATATATATATATTTGCCGTTTAAATATTGTTACAATAATAAATCGTATAAATTGAACTTACATGGTAGGAGCAAAAAGAAGACAACAGTAGTCTTATCACTAAGCCCCGTAGTTAAAACCGTGTTTTACATTTCATTATATAATGTTTTAACACATATACATACAATTTTTACACATATACACACACATATGCATATACACACACATATATACACACATACATATATACATACCTATATACATACACACACACACATACATATATTTACACAAACACATATACACACATACATATATTTATACTTTTTTAAACAAAAACCTTTATATTATAATTTAAATACACAATAACAAAAAGAAAGAAACAAATAGCAAAATACAAATTCAAAAATCAAGTTTTAAAATAAAAAATAAAAAAATAAGAAAAAGAGAGAGAAAAGCGAAATATAAAAACCGCGAGACGACC